TGGCTGAGTAATAATCCATTGTATATATATTCTACATCTTCTTTATCTCCTTTATCCATTCACCTGTTGATGAATATCTGGGCTCTTTCCATATTTTGGCTATTGTGGTCATGGCTGCTATAAACATCGGGGTGCAAGAGTCAGCCACCTAACCAACTGAGCCATCTAAGCTCCCCCAAAAAAGGATTTTTTTAATCACAATTTATTAATTGTCCACTGGGGGGTGCCTCAGTGGCTCAGTTGGTTAAGTCAGCTCTTGATTTCAGCTCAGATCATGATCTCAGGGTCATGAGATCAAACCCCCCACCGGTCAGTCTCCATGCTCAGCAGGGAGTCTGCTTGAGATTCTCTCTCACCCCCGCCCTCTGCCACCCCCATGCTCACACTTGTTCACTCACATTCATTCTCTTTCTCTCTCTTACATAAATCTCCTTTAAAAAACTGTCCCCGGGGCATGAACACCTTAAGATGAACACAGTTTCCTGAATTTAATTAATAAATTTTTCCTCAGTCTTCTTTGCCACTGTCCTGTATAAAAGATAGTTACTTATTCAAAGTAAATGTTCCTGGGGCACCTGGCTGACTCAGTGGAATTTGCAACTCTTGATCTTGAGGTATGGGTTTGAGCCCCACATTGGGTGTAGAGTTTACTGAAAATCTTTAAAAAAAAAAATTCCTTAGTCGTGTACTTTAATTTTAAAAACATACTTTACAAATAGGGAGAGGGGATACTTCCTTTCTTATCAGTTTATAAATTAAAAAATATGGATTATGTTTCTTTGGTATCAATTGATGGCAAGGCAGTTCCAGGCAGGGTGGAAATTTGCACCACTATGATGCATGTGATACTTGTTTCTGGAAAGAAGATACAGTTGTCATCAGATATTATGTATATTAAGACTTTATTTGGTGACTACTGGGTGGCTCAGTGGTTTAGCGCCTGCCTTCTTCGGTCCAGGGCATGATCCTGGGGTCCCAGGATCAAGTCCCACATTGGGCTCCCTGCATGGAGCCTGTTTCTCCCTCTGCTTGTGTCTCTGCCTCGTCTCTCTATCATAAATAAATAAAATCTTAAAAAAGACTATTTAAAATATCAAAAAAGTTTCTCCACAATTAATTAGGAAATGTTTATCTTTTTAAGTTTAATGTTTTTAGTAATTTCTACACCCAGTGTAGGACTCAAATTCATGACTGTAAGACCAAGAGTCTTGTGTTCTTCTGACTGTGCCAGCCAGACACCCCGGGAAATGTTTATTGTTATTCTTTTCTATACACATTGCTAGGCAGTGGAGACAGGTACTAATCAGGGTAAAAACAATCTAATAGAGGAAACTGACAGTGATCAGATAAGCGTCCTACTGAATATGTAATGACAAAGATAAGTGCTCTAGTGAAGATCATAGTGCTGTGAGTACTCTAATCTGAACTTCCATGAGGACATGATATGTGAGCTCTGACAAATAAATAGGCACTAATGGAGGGAAGGAATGTTCTAGGGTCCCAAAAATACAGGAATCATGGCAAAGAAAGATTGAAAGAAAGCCAGTATGGTTAGGACATAGAACAAAGAAAGGAAACCAGACCAAGCAGGGCCTCACAGGCAACAGTTTAAAAAAAAAAAATAAAAGTACAATTTGGAGGACTTTATCCTTTTTGTTTTGTTTTGTTTTAAGATTTTATTTATTTACTTGAGAGAACAGGGGGAGGAGGGGCAGAGGGAGAGGGAGAAGCAGACTCCCCACTGAGCAGGGAACCCAATGGGGGCTCCATCCCAGGATCCTGGGATCATGACCTGAGTCTAAGGCATCCACTTAACCAACTGAGCCACCCAGGTGCCCCCATTTCAAAATTTTAAGCAGGGGATAACATAACACCTGAATGCCCCAGACATCTTTAATTCAACAGGTAGAAAATCCAGTTTTATTTCCCAATTTCTGTAAATGGCAATAGCATTCTGCTAGGTAGTTTTTTTTTTTAAGTGTTTGTTTAAATTCCAGTTAGTTAACATACAGTTAGTTAACATAGCTTTAGGTGTACAGTGTAGTGGTTCAACAGTTCCATATATCACCTGGTGACCTGGTGCGCTTCCTAAGTGCCTTCTCTAATCTCCATCACCTGTTTGACCCATTGCCCCACCTACCTCCCCTCTGGTAACCATCAGTTTGTTCTCTATAGTTAAGAGTTTGTTTCTTGGTTTGCCTCTTTTATTCCCCCTATGATTGTTTTTGTTTCTTAAATTCTACTAGTTAGTTATTTTTTTTTAAAGATTTATTCATTCATGAGAGACACAGACTGAGAGAGAGAGGCAGAGACATAGGCAGAGGGAGAAGCAGGCCCCTCTCAGGGAACCTGATGCGGGACTCGATCCTGGATCCTAGGATCACGACCTGAGCCAAAGGCAGGCGCCTAACTGCTGAGCCACCAGGCGTCACTTGTTAATTGATTTAAAACTGCCCTCTCGGGGGATCCCTGGGTGGCTCAGCGGTTTAGCGCTTGCCTTCGGCTCAGGGTGTGATCCTGGAGTCCTGGGATCAAGTCCCATGTCGGGCTCCCGGTATGGAGCCTGCTTCTCCCTCTGCCTGCCTGCCTCTCTCTCTCTCTCTCTCTCTCTCTCTCTCTCTCTCTCTCTCTGTCTATCATGAGTAAATAAATAAGATCTCTTTAAAAAATAAAAATTAAAAAAATTTAAAAAATAAAACTGCCCTCTCAATAGTCAGGCAGAGAAAGGCTGAATAAAGTACTATATGACTTCACTTAGACATGGAATCTAAAAACACTGGACTCAGAAAAAGAGAGTAGAATTATGGTTGCCAAAGCCTGAGGAGAGGAGGAAACGGGAATACATTGGTCAAAAGGTAAAGACATTCAGGTATAAGATAAGTTCCAGGGATCTCAGGTACAGCAAGGTGACCATAATTAGTAATATTCTATTGTATACTTGAAAGACACTTGAGAGTAGAGCTTTAATGTTCTTACCATAACAAAAACAACAACAAAATGGTAATTATGTGGCATAAAGGATATGCTAACTAGCCTTATTATGGTAAGCATTTTGCAATATGTAAGTGTATCAAATCTTATCATTATACACCTTAAACTTGTATTATATGTCAATTTATCTTTTTAAGATTTTATTAACTTATTCATGACAGACACACAGAGAGAAGCAGAGAGATAGACACAGAGGGAGAAGGGAGAAATAGGCTTCTCTCAAGGAGCCCAATGCAGGACCTGATCCCAAACCGGGATCATGCCCTGAGCCGAAGGCAGACGCTCAACCACTGAGCCACCCAGGCGTCCCTATGTCAATTATATCTTAATAAAGCTGGGAAATAAATATAAAACTGCCCCCTCTCCTTTTACCCTTTATCCAGTCAGTTATCATTTTATTCCTAAATTTCTCTATTTCCGTGATATCAAATAGACTCAGCCACCATTATTCCTGCTGCCATCATTTCAGTTTAAACCTTCTACATCTTGAGACACCAGGGTGACCTGGGTGACTCAGTTAGTTAAGCAACTGCCTTTGGCTCAGGTCATGATCTCAGGGTACTGGGAGATCTCAGCGTCTTGGGATTGAGCCCCAGGTCAGGCTCTCTGCTCAGAGGGGAGTCTGCTTCTCCCTCTCACTCTCCCTCTCTTTGCTTGTGTTCGTTCTCTCTCTCTCTCTCTCTCAAATCGAAAATAATAATAATAATAATAATAATAATAATAAACCTTTACATCTTGCTTAGACTATTATAGTAGCCTTCTAATTGGCCCTAACCTTTCCTCCTACCCTCTGCCACCTTTTCATCCAAATGAACAGAGAGCAACTTCCTACTTACTCTTTAAGGTCCTCTTTGACTCTCAGTCCTTTAGGCATTTCCAGTACTTCATTCTTCTTTGAGTTCTGATATTAAGTAGCTTAAGTGGTGAGACTGTTTTCTTGTCTTTTGTTTCCTATAATGAGTAGTTAGTGCCTTCCACATAGTATTTTTCAATAAGCCTTGATTATAATGGTTTGAAAGCAAGGCTAAAATGAACCCTGTTTCACTTTACTTGGAGCAAGCATCCCCCAGCTGAATTCTGCGAAGACCCTTCAGACTAGGGAACAGCAAACCAGCTTTGCAATGTGCCATGTCATACCCTCATTTTCTGGTGCTGTACACTGGTACTGTAGAGGAAGAGCAGGGATAATGTTACATCTCAACCTGTAAAGGTTTTATTGAACAGTTCAGAAAATCAAAAGAGAAAATGGAGTAACATTAGCAAAGCCTTAAATGTCCAAGAAGCACTTTAGCACTTGTAATGGGCAGGTTGTCTGTGAAAGACTCACAAAGAAGCATAGCTACTAATTAGAAGGGGCAAAGGAGTGTTTGTGACCTTGACCATATGGATATGTGGTAGAGTTGCCTGTCTAATTCAGAAGTCCCCTAAAAATACGAGTGAATTTACTCTGAAAAGTGAGCATTTGATATGGAGTATCCCTGGATACACTGTGCACAGCACTTACTGGAGGAGTTTTTCTTTAATTAGAAGTCTGAAATGTATTGCTGCAGTCTTGTTTTAAGCTTTGGGTAATCTCTTGGGGCAGAGGAGAGATTTAGGCTCTGAAGTCTCCAACTATCTCATCAGAGGCCTGGAACCCCTGGACCTAATTGGCTTCAGGACAGCAACAAAAAAAGATACCATTTCACATTTTTAGAATACTTTCCAGTCTACTAAGCCCTTAATAAGCCCATTTTCTAATGTCATCCTCATGATAGCCCCGTGAAGTACATTGGGCAGATAGCCCTCATTTTACAAATGGGAAAACCAAAATCACAGAGCCAGTCAGAAAAAAAAACCAGGGTCTTCTGACTCCTTAACAAGTGCTGTCTTCACCCCGCCATGCCACTGAATTCCAGAAGAGAGAAAAACTATTTAATAGCACTTACCACTCAGATGAATGGTTGAAACTGACTGGCCTGACATGGTCATCCATGGGCTGAGTCTGAGCCCCTGTTTTTTGTCCACAGAGCCATGGGGGTGTTGATGTCCAAGAGGCAGACAGTGGAACAGGTGCAGAAGGTGAGCCTGGCTGTGTCTGCCTTCAAAGATGGGCTACGGGACAGGCCTTCTATCCGACGCACTGGTGAGCTTCCAGGGTCCCGCCGTGGCACTGTAGAGGGCTCTGTCCAAGAGGTACAGGAGGAGAAAGAAGCAGAGGCAAGTACCCCAGTGCTCCAAGAAGAGAGCAGTGTCAACCGCGCAGCCTGGGAGAGGCTCCGAGATGGGCGTGGAGTGGAGCCAGAGGAGTTTGACAGGACTAATCGTTTCACACCCCCTGCCTTCATCCGCCCCACCCGAAAGCTGGATGATGACAAGCCTCCTGATATCTGCTTGGAGCCTAGAGAACTTGTGAGTATCTAGTTAGGGAGCAGTCCTCAAGTCTTAAGAATCTTAAGAAGTCTGAGAATCAGGGAGCAGGACAGGGAGCCCTGGGTATAATTAACCTGAGATTCGAAAAGAACTCCAGAAAGGTGCAGTGGAGTCCAGAACAATCTTTGAATTTCTTCTACAAGAATAAAAATGTTACATCCTGGATTGGTCTTAGTGAAAGACTTGAGACAGTGGGTAATAAGGAATGACACCATGGCAGATCTTCTGCCCTCCTTCTCACTAAGGGTTAGTAGTATTCCTGTGGGGGGCATTTGGAAATTTGTGGGGATTCAAGAAGGTCATAATCATGGGAGTTGCTACTGGTTTTTAGTGCCAAGAAAATCAGGGATGCTAAGTGTCCTGCAGTGTCTGGGACAGTCTTTCAGAACAGATTATTTTTTCTAAAAATGTTTGTAGCATCCCTTTCAGAAACATGGTCACAGAGGCCTGAGAAGATGGAAGAGTTTGCTGGTTCTTGTTTTCTAGAGAGAAAGCTCTATCCCCTTAACATTAGCTTCAGTTGGAATTGTTCCTCTGGGCTGCTCCAGGGATATTGAGCCTCACGTGGATAGCTCTGTGTTTGGTGGCCATAGGATCTTGCTGCCTATGCTGGAATGAATACACTCCCTATTTATTCCTTTCTCCAGGTTGTCAACGATGAGATGTGTGATGTCTGTGAGGTCTGGACAGCTGAGAGCCTCTTCCCGTGTAGGATCTGCACCAGGGTTTTCCATGATGGCTGCCTGCGCCGCATGGGCTACATCCAAGGAGATAGTGCAGCAGAGGTGACCGAGACAGCCCACACAGAAACCGGCTGGAGCTGCCACTACTGTGTGAGCCTGGACTGCAGGGACAGTGGGCTGCCACACTGCAGGAAACTTGGCACTTTTTTGGAGACCCAGTCTTAGAATCCTGGTTTCTAGGCAGTGACCTAAAAGAGTTTTCCAATAGTAATAGTAGATACAAGGATCCTCAAGCTTGGACAGGCTTTTTCTACCTCAGTATTATGACATTTTGGACACAGTTTTTTGTTGTGGGAGATGTGTGGAATGTAGTATGTTTAGCAGCATCCCTGGCCTCTACTCCCATTAGATGTCAGTAGCACCCACCCCCAAGTTGTGACAACAAAAATTGTCTCCAGGTATTACCCAGTGAGTCCTAGGGGAGAAAATGCATCCCCAATTGAGAACTACTGAGCTGGAGGAATCAATGGGTAAGATAAGACCTAATTACTCAAAAGTTATTCTGTTTGGAGTTGTGCTTTCTCTAATAGTCTATAGTTGTCATTCATTGTACTCATCTGAAAAACCATCCTAACCAGCTTCCAATAGGGATTGGTTCTAACACAGGAATACTTCTCAGTCCTAAGATCATCACTTGACCTACCACTTTCCAACTTTTAAAAAGACAAAACCAGATTTGCATCCATTTTTCAGTACATCTGAATAGAATTTAAATCTTGCTTTATTGGTTATCTTGCAGATATAGATATCTTCATTATTCACTGATTTCAGAGTAAGGAGCATCTCAGCAGAGTAAGGAGCATTTCAGCAGAACCCCCCCCCCCCATCTTCTTCCTACTGCTTAGAAAAAAGTAAAGATATGCCACTTTCTAAGAAATATCACTTTATCTATGGCTTGTCCATAAAATGAATTACAGAATAATTATTTCCAGCTGTTACTTACACACCTTTTCCCTAGCTCAAGTATGTCACAGTAGATGCTCTACACACCATCTTCTCTAGTCACCACCCTCCAAACACCAGCCTTTTCACTCACAGCAACTCTGCCCTGCAGTGTTCCGCTGACACGGGACCCTGTTGAAGGTATCTCCTTCCTAACCCTTCAGAATACATAGCTCTCTTCCTGGCTTTCTATCAGAGTCCTACCATCATTACTACTACTTCCTGGACTTCTTTTTTTTTTAAGATTTTATTTATTTATCCATGAGAGACACACAGACAGAGAGAGGCAGAGACACAGGCAGAGGGAGAAGCAGGCTACATACAGGGAGCCCAATGTGGGACTCGATCCCAGGACTCCAGGATCACACCCTGAGCCGAAGGCAGATGCTTAACCACTGAGCAACCCAGGTGTCCCCTCCTGGGCTTTTTACAAAGGTTTCTTCGGAGCTCTTCCCCTTTCTGTCCTTCCCTTCATAGCCAGGCTTCTTGAAAAGACTCCATCATGTCTTTGTGGCTCCTCAACCACCTATAATTCAGCTTCTGTACCTGTCATTCTGTTGCATTGGTTCTTTCTAAAATCACCAGTGACCTGTCAAGTCTAGTGACCTTTTCTCAGGCATCTTCTTATTTGACTTCTATGGGATATTTAGCACTTCCTTATTGCCTCCTCTTTTTTTGGAGGGTTTAAGTGTTTATGAGAATTATTATGCAAAATAAGGAAACTAGACAAAATAGAAAATCGGTAAAGTCCCATCATTGTTGTATCACCACTGTTAACAGTAAACTTCGACTTTGTACGGCTCTCTTTTCTCGTCTTCCAGTAACCTCTCTACTGATTCTCCTCCTCCCTTCTTCTCTATCCTTTCTGAGTGCCCTTAGTTAATTTCTTGTCAGAGTTATAAATGCTGATATTCCTTGGGGTTCTGTTGTTAACACTGTTCTTTGCTCCTTGCACACACTGTCTCCCTGGGTTATTTCATCTACTTCAGTGGCCACAGCTATGATTCTCAAACCTGTGTATTCAGATCTAAGTTTCTTGTCTCTTGGACTTAAATCCATTTTGATGTTTCACAGGTACTTCACACTCAACATGCCCCAAAATGAACTGCTCTTTTCCCCAAAACCTGTTCTAAATTTCTTAACCTCTCTGAATAATAATACTACCCCACATCCCCAGTTACCAATACCAACTCATTTCTCTCTTTCACTCCTCACATCCAGTAAGTCAACAGGTCCTATTGATTCTATCTAATACCTATCAAATCTCTTTTCCATTCCCATGTCTTAAGTTAGCTGGTCATTCTTTCTTACCTGCACTATAGCAAGAGCTAACTAACTGTCCTCATGCCTCTAGACTTTGCCCCTCTAATTCATTGTCCACACAGCAAAGATCTGACCATGGCACTATGCTCTTAAAAACCATTCAGTCAGGGCCCCGGAGTGGCTCAGTTGGTTCAGTGTCTGACTCTTGATCTCAGCTCAGGTCTCATCTCAGAGTTGTGAATTCAAGCTCTGCATTGGGCTCCATGCTGGGTGTGGAGCCTACTTAAAAAAAATTTTTTTTTGGTGACTCCCCTTTGCATTCAGAAAAAAACCCAATTGAAGAGCTCAATAACGGGTATTCGAGGCACTTCACAGTCAGGTTTCTGCCTATTTCTCCCTTAACTTTCATCATTCCTCTCTACTCTCCCTCCACACACAAACACCCCTACACTCTAGCCCCACTAGCATCTCACAGTGTTACACCCCACTATGCCCAGCATATATCAGGTGCTCAGTAAGTGTTTACTGAAAGGATTGTTTGAGTTCTTTATGAAATCCACAAATGAATACTCATGAAATGTCTGTTCCTCTCTTTGCTGATACTTTTTTTAAAGACTTATTTATTTTTTCATGAGAGACAGAGAGAGAGAGGCAGACACATAGGCAGAGGGAGAAGCAGGCTCCCCACAGGGAGCCCAATGCAGGACTCAATCCCAAATCCCAGGATCATGCCCTGAGCCGAAGGCAGATGCCCAACTGCCGGGCCACCCAGGCATCCCTTTTGCTGATATTTTAAGAGGGAAAAATAACCTAGTAAGAAGAATCTTTGACAGTTTAAAGACTATAGACTGTATAAATTAGTATTAACAAAATAACATATCAGTGCCGTTTTGGAATTAAAACTCTGTGGCACCACAAAAAACTCATTTGGTTTTAGGAACTTCATTATGATGGCACCTCTTTCAAAACCATTCTGGGTTATTTAAAGTAATGCCAGCCTACTCTGGGAGCAGAGTTAGAATTAAACTTCTTTTTTACCTGAAATACTCTTTGAGCAGTCTAACATAGAAGCCAAATTCATAAAATGGATAAAGAAGGAGTAGCTGTGGCTGGTGGAGCTGGGGATTCACAACCCTGCCCATTTCTTAGTCCCCTTTTCCCTTGCAGCAGCTTCCGAAGGCACTTCCAAGGAATCCCTAGGGTATCTCAGAGAATAATATTAAAACTACTGTTTTAGTAAAAGTGACTTAGGTCTAGAATCAGGATACCTGCCTTTTGGAGAAGATTCTGCTCAGAGCTGGGCAACTTTGAGCAAATCCTTTCCCCTTTCTGGAGTTTCAGTCTCTTTGATTATGATTAGATGCTGGGATAAGATGATCTCACAATTGCCTTCAAGTTGAAATACAGTTTCCATCTTTCTTGATCCTAGGCCTGCCTTTCTTACTCGTCTATGTGGCCACTGACTCAGATCTTACCTTTTTTCAGGATAATCTCAACTTGCTGCTAACTGAGGAGGAGATGTACAGCCTCACAGAGACCTTTCAGCAGTGTAAAGTTATTCCTGGTAAGGCTGGACAGTGCTGCCAGATGGAGAGGGGCTGGCACATTTTCCTCCATACTTTCTAGGATGAACCATAAAAGGAGTATCCTGGAATTTGGAGAGTAGGGGTAAATAGGTCCCTGTTCCCAAACTGTTGGGTAGAAGGGGCACCCACACACCCACCTATTCTCCCCCCACACACAGCCTGAATTATCCTGGCTATGGGAAACAAAGACTCCACAAAAGCTGTGCATATAGGGGTTCTGGAGGGTACCTTGAAAGTAAATGGAGGTTCCCCAGATGCTGAGGAAAGGATGGGCGTGGCTAATATGGGGTGCCTCCCACAGATTGCTCCCTGACACTGGAGGACTTCCTGCGCTACCGCCACCAAGCAGCAAAGCGGGGGGACAGTGACAGGGCTCTAAGCGAGGAGCAAGAAGAGCAGGCAGCCCGCCAGTTTGCAGCCCTGGACCCTGAACATCGAGGACACATAGAGTGGCCTGACTTCTTGTCCCATGAGTCCCTCCTACTTCTGCAGCAGTTGCGTCCCCAGGTGAGGGCCAGCTGGGGTGAATGTCTATGGGATACTAGGTGACAGAGACCTAGGAAGCATGCCGGGCAGGTTGGAGGAGCACTAGTTATTGTCTTAGCAGGGACCATGTTCCACCCAGTGACAGATGATCCCAATCCTTGAGCTGGGGAAACTGCCCAAGGAAGATTGATTTGCACTGGCCCCAACTGCAAATGTTAATGCTACTAGAAAGGCCCTGGGTGGCTTCAAAGGGAGGCTACAGAGGTCATAATGGAGATAGGATTCTCTATAGCTTGACATTTTATAAAATATTTTCACCTCCAAGATCTTAACTTGTCTCTTCTTCCCCAGAACTCTCTGTTAAGACTTCTGACAGTCAAGGAGAGGGAACGAGCCCGGACCACTTTCCTGGCCCGGGGCAGTGGGAACACTATCAGTGAGGCAGAGTGCCGTGGAGCCCAGCACTCTTGGTTCTGCAAACGCCTTACAGAGGTTCCTTCCTGCAATGTCAGGTCTGTTCCTTACCAATCCCTTCCCCCATTCACATGCCCTTCTCCTTTTTCCATGCCAATGACCCTTGGTATGAAAGGTACCTCTCTGTTTCTTCTGTCAACAGACAGGAGAGGATCTTCCTGTGCATTAGCCAAAGGACATTGACTCTTATTGGCCAAGGCATAGGGCATCCTCTACATCAAACTGTTGCCCATGTTAGAAAAGCATGGACATGTATATCCAAGCTATGGGTTCCCCAGAGTTTGGGAGGGGCCAGACCTTTCACTTTTCCATTTAACCACATATCCTTGTGCCAAACAGCATCAGCCATGTGGGTCCCATAGCAGACAGCAGTCCAGCCAGCAGTAGCAGCAAGAGTCAGGACAAGGCTCTGCTGCCCACAGAGCAGGAGTCCAGGTGAGTAGGATCCCCTCACTGAGCTGTCTGCACTCCTGACCCTTCAACACATGTAAATGGGCATTACCCACTGCCACCCCAAAACAGCAGGTGCCTATCCCAGAAACCAGGCTCCAAGAATGTACATTTGACCCCAAATCTATAGGGTCAGCTGGCTGGTCTGTCAGGCTTGGAATCACAGCCAGCCATACCTATGATAGCCAAAAGCCAGGGCTTCTCTGAGCTTTGCCTAGCTTAAGCCATAGTGCCACTGGGATCAGGTCTCATGAGCCCCCAGGCTCTGCAGCCAACCTCACAAACCTATTCCTTGCTCCCACTCCAGATTTGTGGACTGGCCTACCTTCCTGCGGGAGAATGTTGTCTACATCTTGGCTGCTCGCCCCAACAGTGCAGCAATTCATCTGAAACCCCCAGGATAGCATGGAGCAGAGAAGCTCAGTTCGGGGACAGTGATGTTTCTCCCTCCTCTCCTTTTTCTCTTTCCCTCTTTCCCCCACCATCCTCTGGTACTGAGACTTACGGGAATGGAGCACTGCCAGCATCGCAGTTTGCCATTAAGCTTTATGGAACTGAAATCACTGCTCCCCTCACAACAGAGGCAGTAAATGCATTGCTGCAGGGAAAAGCCCTGGGAGCTGTGGCGGTATCCACTCCTGGACCCATCCTCTGCCCTCACATCATAAGACTGGACCTGCCACTGAACACATATGTGTGCACATTCACACATGCCTAGCTGTCCATGCCTTCAGAGACCTGGTTCTTCTTGATTGAAAAAGGATCAAAGTTCCTTTGTGAAGCTCCTGGTATGGATGAGAGGGGTCTCTATTCACTCCTATTGGCCAGTTCTGATTTCTAGAAGACAAGTCTCTGGCCAAGTGATTTTTAAATAGGGCATATCAGTCTCACATGCTGTCCTGGAGATGCTGATAGGCTCCCTCTTCCTCAATTGAAAATCCCTTCTGTGGTGAGCCACTATCCTGGTAGGTATGTGCTATGTCCCTTAGGTATGTTGAACTGGGAAAATTTTTGAAAACCACCACTGCACTTCAGCCCGTTGTTTATTTAAATCCTTATTCCTAGTGACAGAGAAGGCATCTAGCCCCTCCTAGGAACCCAGAATTCTAGGAATCTCTCAACCAAGTCTTTCAAGTCCAAAAGTCTTTAGCAGAAGAGTCAAAAAACCAAGATGAGCCATCCTGGCCCCTGTTTTACAGATGGGAACACATGGCCCAGAGCCCATGGGCCTGAATGGAACAAGTATGATGGCAGGAGTCACAATCCTCTGTATTAGATGCTTGACCCAAGTCACAGAGACCTGAAGCCTGATATCCAATGAAGACCAGTTTAGGATGGAAAAAGAGAGGAGAAGCCTCATGATATTCCATCTTTCCACCTCAGCCCAAATGTAGATCTAGAAGAGTGTGCCATTGTATGGAGAACAAGAGCCAGCCTCTTCCATAGCACCACTGACAAGCTGGAGCCAAGAAGAGGATTTGCATCTCAGCGCTCGCGCGCGCTCTCTCTCTCTCTCTCTCTCTCTCTCTCCTTCTCTCTCCCCTTCTCTCTCCCACCCTCCCTCCTCAGCTCTTCAGCAGAAGTCCCAGCAAAACCTCACAGGAGGTTCATCCTCCCCATCACTGAGATACGGCCTGAGTTGCTGCTTCTCCCTGCTACTCACTACATGTCTTTCGCCACCAAGCCTGGGTCTTAAGTCCCAGCTGTCCCCCTTAAGTTCTTAAGTCACTGCATGTTGTAGGTCAGCTCTGGCCCTGGAGTCCAGGTTCTGTTTCCAATCTGAATATTAGAGAGGGGATTGGCTCCATCATGTTGAAACTAACATATCCCCATTGCTCAAGGCACTTGTATTAAATTGTGTGCTTACAGAAGTAGCATACAGCTCAGTGTTGAGATGCTCAGAGGAACGTGGGGAGCTACAACCAAGGTTATGGTAACAACATTATATGGTCACCTTCTGTAGAAACTGCTTGACCTAGAACAGGTTGTGAAGCTTCGGGGGTTGGTTTATTCAGGACTGAAATGAAGCAGACAGAAAATGAATCTGGGTTCATGGGTATGGCCCTGAACATTTTAAAACCCACAGCTTTTTAAAAATACTGCTTAGCCATACTCCCAAGACTGATCATTAAGAGGGGCCATTGTTCAGTTTAGCCAGAAAGGAAAAAAAAAAAAGAGAGAGAGAGAGAAAGCACATGACTCTTGGGTCCAAGGACTGACTGCCTCTGAAGCAGCCAGACCTAGGGTTTTGCAATGAAAAAGATTAAAGCACATTCAGCACAGGGGCTCTTGCTTATTCTTCTGGTAAATCACCTTGTATGCCAATGGCCTTGGGCTGCTGGATCTCACAGGGCATTTTGAGTAGAGACAAGCTCTGGGCTCTGAGAGCGGAACACCTTTTTTCTCCTGCCTCATCATCAGTCATAGGGAGTGAACTATATCTTCCTGTGCCCTGATCCTTCACAGACAAAGTGATGCCTACCTCTCTGGAGCTGCAGCTTTTAGCTTTCTGTAGATGAGTGGTAAAAGACCATGCATGGCCAGATCGGGCTGGCTGCATCTCAGGGCCTGGCAAAGCAGGATTCCTTCCACAGTAGGACCAGGCTCATTGAGACTATTCTTCTCCCTATTCCAAGACAGCAAGTTTCCTTGGTAGGGGCATGCTGCAGAGGGCCCAGGGAACCCCAGCATAGAATTCCCAGTCCACAAAGTCCTAAGAAGCAGAAAAGCATGGAGAAGCAACTAGCCTTTTCTCCCATTAGGCAATTAACTTTTTACCAATGTAAAGATTCCCTTGCTCCACCAGATCAGAGTTGTAGAAGCCCCACCCCAATCCCCATCTGGGATTTTGCTTTGCAGTGTTCTAATCCATGGAGATCATCTGCAGTACATATGAAGCTGTTCAAACTTTTATAAACTTAGTGAAGCCCATTCCCTTTCCTTTGCATCAAACCTTTCCATCACTGTGACTATCTGAAATTCTGCCAAGTACAAAAATTAGTGTCTGACTCTTAAGGTTTGAGAAAATGTTCTAGTCATTTCTTCTTGGCTGCCCAAAATTGAGATCAGTGCTTTTTACAAACACCACCCACTCCACCCACTATCAACAGAGGTTAGGGGTTGCTCCTCTGACATCGCCTTGCCCTAAGCCTATTTTTTACCCAACACTCCTCTTCCCTATGCTCAGATTTAAAGGCAGAGGCATCTGGATGACACAGTGGAGCTGCAGTGATAGAAGGTAAGTAAGGCAGTAAGCTGTGGCCATACCATATAACATCCAGATCTGATTTGTGGCTTCCTCACCTGAGACCAGCCTTCCTCAACAGAGGAAGGCTCTGTGGTTTTGAACAATGGTCCCCTTTGGATCCCAGAGATGGAGCAGACCCCTCCTCTAGGTACTGACCCACTCTCAAGTGCTTTTCTTCCTATGAGAATAGCCAAATCTATGAGCATATTGCCTCTTCTCACCTCTAGCCCAAGTGACTGGGCCTACAGGGCAGATAAGCCTTTTTGGCCCTGGTGCTCCCTATGGGATGTCACCCTGACCTTATTTGAGTGGCCAGATCTAGCAGTTCCCCCATTCCTATCACTAACATTGGAGGCACAAAATCATACTGCCTGGGAAGAAGGCACCTCTCTGGAGAGTAAGCCCAGGATTGTGCCTAGGCCTCTTAGTCCGAAGCACAACCTCAACAATTGCCGGTCTCATGACTTCAGTAAGAGCAGTGCAAGGAAGCCCTAAAGGCAAGAGGGAAGCTCAGCAGAAGCTGTCTGGTAGGGCCTCAGGCTAGTTATGACCACCTCAGAGTCCAGAATAACCTCCAGGCATGACTGGTAGCAGGCTCTTAGTGATCCTACAAGCATGACCCTTTCAAACTAGCAGAATTTGATATAAGGAAGGTATATATTTGGCACTGAAAGAATAACGTCCTGGCAGCATTTGTAACCATAACCCCTTTTTACTCCTCAATCTAAGAGTAATAAAATTGCTTCTTTCCCTATACCACTTAATTTGAATTTGCCCAGGATCCTTTTCTGGGGCCCTGACTGCAGCTTAGATAACAGATCTGGATGGAGGATGGGAAATACTATATTGTGCCTACTCCCTGTAGCTCAGTCCTGGAATGTGGTAGGACTGGGCATTTCCCCTGCTGCCACTGCTCTTGGCAACCTTGAAAGAAAAACAGGTGACAGAATTTCTAATAGACCCAACTAGCACTAAGGAAAACCTTTCCTCTGAGCCACATGTCCTGATGACCCAATTTGTGGACAATGTGTCACATCTGGTCTGGGCCAGTAACTAAGAAGCCCAATCACATTCCAGCTTGTATAGCACAGGTTGGCATGACCATAAGTGAGAACATCATGTTATAAGCAGCAAGGCCTTTCCATAACCATGTGAAACAAAGGTCTTTAAGTTTACCCTCCTTTAAGAGATGGCCTGTGATCTATCTTCTAGCCAAATACAGGCTTGTGAGGGGGTTCCTGAGAACACATAACTGGAGGATCCAATGCCCTCTGGTCCCTTATACCCTTCCTATGTTCTTTTCTGCAGAAGGTAACTTGACAGTAAGCCGAGGGGAATATCCCCAAGCCCTGGCTTCCCACCAGTACAGCTGCATGCTCCTCCCCATGGCTCAGCCCTCACTCCTGAAGGAGCTGATGCTCCCAGAGGCTGGGCACAGTGGAAATCATAATAAAGAGATTGTGATGCTATTTTGGCTTCCTGCTTCCTGTTATTCAGGCACCTGCTGAGTTTCTTGTTTCCCTATCATTAGCCAATTCCTGAGTCTAAGGAGCTACTGTGGCCTCCAGGAAGAATACAATATGCTATGGCTCTCTTTCTGGAGCTTTCCTGGTGCTGACCTTCCCAAGAATCAAGTGATGGGTTGGGAGGAGGCAGGGGCTCCACCATGGACACAGGGAAAATGAAAGCACAGAAGAGAAGCCAGAATTTTCTAAGAAACTGAGGAATAGTTAAGGCCTCCAAGCCTATCTGCAGTGTATTCCACCACTACCACCAAGGGCCAGTTTTAGACACATTTCTCTTCCCAGTTCCTGCTGGGTGACAAAGGAAGCTAGCTGTCTGTTTTCTCCTCGTCTTCTGAGTCCTTCTTGGTAGAAGATTTTCTCCCCATTTTTGCAGTGTTTTAATGTGATATGATAGAGTTGGGTAAACTAAGGTCAAGAGAAGCTTTCAAGGACGCCTGGGTGGCTCAGCGGCTGAGCGTCTGCTTTTGGCTTAGGGCGTGGTCCTGGGGTCCAGGATCCCTCAGGGATCAAGTCCCACATTGGGCTCCCTGCAGGGAGCCCACTTCTGCCTCTGCCTATGCCTCTGCCTCTGTCTCTCATGAATAAATAAATCTTTTTTAAAAGAGAGAGAAGCTTTCAGAGGACTGTGAAGTCTCATTTCTTTTACCTGATAACAGAGCCAGTACCTATAGGCAAAGAAAGCATCTCTAGAGTGTGGATCAGAGGCATATACTTTTACCTCTAAACTGTAGGGGCCCCAAATACAAATCATTGCTAATATTTTTGAGCACTTACTATGCACTGGGCAGTTCTAAATGCTTTATATAAAATCATCTTCAAAACAACCCTGAGGTTTGTATTACAGATGAGAAAAGTGAAGAACAGAGGCTGAGAGTTTCTCGAGGCTACACAGTCCTATAGGAAGCAGGGGAACCAGGTAGACTGCCTTCAGTGCCCATGTTCTTAACCACTTTATTGTGCTGCCTGTCAGGGACATCTCAAGGAAACAGCTACTGTGTGGTCTAGCATATCCTCTTTCCACCCTGGGAACAGGCACATAAGCAACTAGTCCTGTAGCCATGTCACAGGATTTCTTACAACCTACACAACTCGGGATCCCTGGGTGGCGCAGCGGTTTGGCGCCTGCCTTTGGCCCAGGGCGCGATCCTGGAGACCCGGGATCGAATCCCATGTCGGGCTCCCGGTGCATGGAGCCTGCTTCTCCCTCTGCCTATGTCTCTGCCTCTTTCTCTCTCTCTCTCTCTGTGTGACTATCATTAAAAAAAAAAATTAAAAAAAAAAAAAACCTACACAACTCACCCATTCACTCACACTGCTCCCATACTTTTCTTCCCTGGAATTTTCAAATGGAGGTTCATCAGGCTCAGAGGCAGCTTAAGATCGTAAGGGTCCCTTCTCCAAGCTCAGTGAAGCATAAGGACAGAAAAAGAGACATAAGAGCTGGGCCTCTTTGGACCCTAATCCAAAAGCAAGGTTTCCCCATCCTCAGTCTGGCAATCCTGATGGACTTTATTTTTTTTATTTTATTTAAGATAGGCACACAGTGAGAGAGAGAGAGGCAGAGACACAGGCAGAGGGAGAAGCAGGCTCCATGCACCGGGAGCCCGACATGGGATTCGATCCCGGGTCTCCAGGATCGCGCCCTGGGCCAAAGGCAGGCGCCAAACCGCTGCGCCACCCAGGGATCCGCTGATGGACTTTAGATCCTTTTAGGACTGTTCCTCCTGCTGCCACTTGTTCCCAGGGCTGGCTGGAGCCTCAGTTCCACACAAACTTCCACTCATCCTGCCCTGCTTTAGCTGAAATGCATTCCTCTTTTTTTTTTTAAGATTTATTTATTTATTCATGATAGACATAGAGGCAGAGGGAGAAGCAGGCTACATGCAGGGAGCCCGATGCGGGACTTGATCCCAGGACTCCAAGATTGTGCCCTGGGCCAAAGGCAGGCACCACACTGCTGAGCCACCCGGGGATCCCCTGAAATGCATTCCTCTTATCTCTAGAGTAAGCCATTCCTTAAAGGGGAAAGAGTAGTGGCTAAATTTGCTAAACATGGAATAATCTTCTCTTTCCCACCTCATCCAAAGGGTTGCTTGGAGCTTAACCTTGCTGAACCTCAGTTTCCTTCTCTGTAAAAGTCAGGGAAACCATTCCTCTCCTGTGTCCTGGGCTGGTAGCTGGGTGAGGACAGAGTGAGTTTGGTAAGAGGAAAGAGCTTTATACACTATAAGGCACTAAGTGAGCAGCAAGGATTTCTGGCCCCTAGATATCTAAAAGCTGTGCGTGGGATCCCTGGGTGGCACAGCAGTTTGGCGCCTGTCTTTGGCCCAGGGCGCGATCCTGAAGACCCGGGATCGAATCCCACGTCGGGCTCCTGGTGCATGGAGCCTGCTTCTCCCTCTGCCTATGTCTCTGCCTCTCTCTCTCTCTCTCTCTCTCTCTGTGTGTGACTATCATAAATAAATAAAAATTTTAAAAAATTTAAAATAAAATAAAATAAAATAAAAGCTGTGCGTGTATCATCTTCCACCCACCCACAATCACAGGCATAGCCGGGGTACCACCAATGGTCTCTGTCCACAGTGCTGAAGTCACAGTTGAGACAGCTGGGGATCTTCAGTCTCTCTTTGCTTTTTTTGGTAATATACTAATTTATTTATATATACATTCACTTTACATTATTACATTTTAACATTCATCAAAACCAAAAATATGGAATGCTTCATGAATTTGCATGTCATCCTTGTGCAGGGGCCATGCTAATCTTCTCTATATGGTTCCAATTTTAGCATATGTGCTGCAAAGCAAGCACTTCAGTCCCTCCTGTCCCACCTTTAAGTAAATACAAATGCAGAGATTTCCAAGCCCAAGGATTGTTCTAAAATGCAGAAGGTATTGCAAAAACGTTTGTTTTATTTCAAGTATCTTTGTTTTTAAAATAAAGAGAACACTCCTTTCAAAATCGTAACATTTGGGCAGTTGTACAAATGGGAAGATGTGATCCAGCAGCTCAGGAAGAGGAGGGTATATAGTCTCATTTGATATGGAGAAACAGTATGAGGTAGCTACCAAAAAACTGATGTAACATGAGGCTATGTAGGAAGAAGTTCAGAGTCAGATGAGAGAGGCAGGCCGGCTCATTTGCACACTGCACCAGCACTCCTGAAAAAAAGTTAATCAAAGCCAGGCACCATGAACTGAAATCCAGCCAAAGGAGCATGGTCTTAGGGGCTAGAATGGAAAAAGGCAGAGGAGGAACCCATGAAGGCCTGAGAAGTGTCTCACTCTAGAGAGGAGCAGACTTGAGGTATGCAGATGACTGATGTCTGACAGATGGGACTGATGAGGCCAATGTGACCTCAAGGACAAAGTTAAGACCAAAGGTGGAGGAGAGGCAGATTTTTGCTCACTAGGACCAAAAGTTAACTGAATTCCAGGGAAGGTAGTGAAGCTGTATAAGCATATGACACAAATGCTGAGTTGGGAATGGGATGCCTTATCAGGTATACAGTCCTCTTGAGACCTGTGATGCCTGTAAATGGTTAAGCACCTTCTAGTGCCTGCCCAGCCTTGAGCCCAGCTGAGCTAGAGGCAGATTCAAGATTGTACAGACCCACATGACCACAAAACAGTAGAATGACTGGGTTGGAAAACTTAATGTCTTTAGTTCAACCTCATAGACTGACTGTTGTGCCTCTGGCTCTAGGTCCTGATCTAAGAGAAAAGAGCCAAGGTCCCAATACACCTGGTATCTTCCCAGATGAGCTCTGGAAAGCTTGCCTCTAGAACCTGATGTTGCACGCCCTCTGCTGGTCATTTCTAGCACTATCTTCTCACTTCCAAGGCAAGAAATAACCCCTTTGAACACCTAGGGTACTGGCCAGTGGAGGTTTAGAACAAGGTGAGTACAAGGGAGTACTGTGGTCAGTGTCCAGTCAGCAAACAGGATCAGAACTGAATCTTCAGTTGAATTCAAGTAATATTAGGGCTCATCCATGTCTAGAAGGGCTTAGGCTAAGGCTGAGTTTGGGTTTGAGGAACTGTCTGGTCTAGGACTAAGGCCAAGGTTAGTGTCTCAGACTGAAGTCAAAGTTGGTACCCAGAGTGGAACCGAATTCTGGGTCCAAGTGTCAGCATGAAGTATGTATCGAGGTGACTCCTCAGGAAGGAGTCAGTCTGCATTCAGGGTCCCTGTAACATTCCTATACTAGGTGGAAACATCAGGTAATAAGTACCAGCCACGGAGAACTCAAGCAGAGACATCGCTACAGGAGAAGTATAAGGGTTGGGGGACAGAATGAAGTAGTAATTTCTAAGGGCCTCCCAACCTTAAAGATGGTAATGGGCAAGCTTGAGCCATAGTGTCTCCTCAGAAGGTGGAACCCTGTATTCTAGCTGGAACTTCCTGTCAAAGCTTCCCCCACCCCAACAATAGTATTGCCACACACAAGTCATAGGTACAATTTGGGAACAGGAGAGGTCCAAGGACCAGTCCTGTCACTGCAGAGAGCTGGTGGCTGTGGGAGTAGTCTCCCCTCCTCTTCTCTGTTTCCACTGGCAACAGGGCCTAGCAGCCTCCCACACCCAGATCTTAGCAACCGTGGGAGCCCCTGGCAACTGCTGCCATGGCAACAAGTAAGAGAACTAAGAATGGGCTTGGAGGGGAGCACTTCCTCTGGAGACTTCAGGATATGTGCAAGATAGGGGGCTCCCCCTCCCATACACAGTCTGGGAGGGAACATGTGCTCCTGTCTAAACACCTCCTCACTGGCACCCACCCCTACCCCTGCCCCCCGGGTTCCGGTTCTCTCAGGGTGAGAAAATGAGGGACACCTAGGGTTATGACGTCTCTATAGGAAGGGAGGGGAACGCAGGTGTTCAGAACTTACAGGATCACAGATTCATGCACACACTGGCAGTCAACGTGTCAACATCCATGAAGCTGTTCATCACGTAGACACAGACCTACACAGTCATTTAATCACACATGTATACTAACACAAAAATCACATATACAACAAATAATACAGAATCAGGCATACTACCACACAAAAATATCACACAGATACACTCTCACTTCCAAATCATATTACAGATGTAACAGTACAAATAATTCCCAGACTTGAACATCAGATGCACTCACACATCCAGGTATCTGTGAACACACAGAATAATGGTTAACTTTGCCAAGCAGTAACTACATACCAAGCTCAAAACTAGGTTCATTGCATGTGATACCTTAATTAACCCTCACAACAACTCTATGAGGTACAGAGCTGTACCCATGATACAAAGAAAGATATGAGGCAGAGATTTGGCAAGTAATCTCACTAGGTCAACAGAGCCTACATTCTTACACCTATGCCACACTGTGCACTCTGCTTCCTAACCCACACCTGATACCCAGGGCAACATGACACAGGGTGGCAATAGACAACCCAGCAGACAATGGAATCCATGCTATCAGCACCTGAAGGCTGGCCCTGCACGCCACCCCCCAAGGCCTAAGCCCACAATACAGCATCAGCAGGGACCAGGTAAGGGCCAGTGACTAAATCCCCTGCCTCCGTGTTGGCACAGGCAAGCCTGGAGGAGGCAAAATAGAACTGAAATAGGAAGAAGTAGAGCCACCTACAGCCCAGGACCCCATCAGTCTGGAGGTGGCAGAGTGAGATCCCCCAGATCTAAGTAGCTAGCACTTGTCCTGGGCCCATTCATCCTACCGTGGCCATCTCCATGTCACACTAATATTCCACTCCCTCATCATGCCATCTCCCTTCCCTTCTAGTCTTTGTTCCCCACTTCTCCCTCCCTTCTCAAACCTCCTCCTTACCTCCTACTCTCTCTCCTCTCCCCTCTTCTTCCCACCCCCTCACCCCATCTTCCTTCCTCCTCTACTCACTTCCCTCATCCCACCTTTTCTTCATCCTCTTCTTACCCCACATCCTTTCCTCACTTCACAGCTCACACCGCTTTACATTTGGGATCCCGTCAGTGAGTACTAGAAAGAAGGCAGATAATGGAGAACATGCAGGCCTGACCTCAGGAACCCCTAGATCTCTGTCCTGCTCTCCTCTGCTCTGTGGCCCAGATAACTGATGTCTGCCAAGCCTCAGTTTCCAGATCTATCCAGATTGCATGATCTCATGGATGTCCAAACTGTTTCTGGGAA